ATAGAGATACGTGCTCGTCTGTGCATTGCCCGCGGTGAACTAAGTGTTTGAAGATATGGTCACTTGGGAACTTTTAGAAATACATTCTTCGTGGTGTCGAACGACGGGACCAGGCGTGTTGAAGACGCCATATGCAGGGAGGAAAGTGGGTATAAGCCAGTTTGTATTTTATGGAGGAAGTCTTTGCAGTGCGATGATGTGAGAAATGGAAGATCGACTGCAGGGAGCAGTCGGTTGGCTACTGCTGCATCTAGGTGGGTATTGGCCGACCATAGTAATTTCATTCAAACTGGAATGAACTGTAACTCAATAACCACACGTACTGTAATCAATATGAAAGCAAGGGATGTTATACCTTAGCAGTAGATAAGAGACGCCATTAGACCTTCTATTATGGGAGGCATCCAGGTTGAGATCAGTGTAGGAAAATATGCACCTGGTCGACTATTTGTGTTGGCGACAATATGGAAATTCTTGTTGCTTTTCGTACAATTCGATGCGAATTCGTACGTTAAACTATATTATTGGTGAGGAAGCTCCCGAGGGAAAAACATATACTCCAACACTGATGTATTAACATGAGAGCTACTGACGGTGTAGGTCAGCAGTATGACGCAACTTGACTTGCGACCATGGGGTCATCTCGGTTGGCATTGTTCAAGTTTCAAGTCACACTAGTGTTTAGGGATGAAATTTCGAACGATGTTGCTGTTAACAAGGAATTTAATTTGCAGAGTTTCGAGACTCCCTTGTGATTCTGACTCTTCGTAAAACGATAATTTTCCCAGGAGGCGACTAGAAAGGCCACGAACGATGGGAAGAAGCCGACCTGGAAGTAGTTGCCCCGGTGAGAATTATTCGAGCTGCGTGTTGCGGAGTTTGAAGTTTCCTCAGGTCAAGGCTTACCGAGGAGCTATGAACTGAATGCGATTCCACTCGCAGCTCAGATGGCACGTCCGATGGTTTGGCGTCGCATTATAACGAGACAGATGTCGAACTTGGGCATGAACCTCTCCGCGACGGGGATTTGATGACAGCATGATGGGTCCTTTTGGACGATATGATCGTTGCCAAGTTATTCATGATTGCTATGCGTTGTCCGGTTTGACCATTTTGTTATGATGTTCACATGCTTAACTGTGCGAGCTTAGTAGAATTGGGTTCGTCAATTTGAAGTGGCTGGGATCATCTGATGATATTCCCCATTAGTTGTCACATATTCAAACACAGTGTAACAGCAGAAATACACCCTCGCGAGAGAAACATGGACTTCCGAGTCTCGAGTTATTTCTCCTAATGTATGGGATGTTAACAGAATAATGATTATGATGACAGACTGATACTGCAGTATTGTAGAATTCACTGTAGTTGTTGTTGTAGTAGTAAAGCCTCTTCTGAAATCTTTTCTCATCAGCTATTACTTTGATAACACTATGTTCCAAATCTTCCGCACATCATTCGTCCAGTTTGTTTGCATAGTACTGGTGACAGGGATCGGGTAAGTCTATTATGGTTTGATGAATGTTAGGATTGCCTTGATGGTCCATTAACGGCTTGGCAGCAGAGATCATTCTTTCAGACACCCGAGCATGACCAAGCCACAGGTGATTCAGAAAGGTGATCATCACGTAGTGTTGGGATATCAACTTCACTCGTGTCCTCTCAGACCAGCCCAAATCGTTCTTACAAAGGAGATCTCAACATGAACATAAGAAGCCATTAATAGCCGTTCAGCTGCATTTGGTCGAGCCTGGCATGATGGATGTTGACGATATAAGCACTGCTACATCGTCCCTTGTACAGGAGGGAGGAAATGAAGGTCGGTCATCGATGCGACGTAGTGTAATATGATAGGAGTTTCAGGCAAAGTGAACCCGGCGGTGCTGATCGACAACATAGACAAGAGCGAGAGGAAAGAGGATGTGGCTCTGGAAGGTGGGATCGTTACTGTGGTGATACAATCCGGAAACTCGAAGACTGAGCGTTTGTGTAGATTATGTAAATTATAGACTTCCAGGTGCAACGCAGGAGCTCGAGAAGTTGTATGCCAAGCTGGGGCATCTCATTAATGGTGATTCACAGTGAGAGATGCATGGTGGGGTCGCGTATTAATGTTGAGGGTCAATGCATTGATGGGTTGAGTCATAGTGGAAAGAACACATCTTCAGGGGTCTATTTCATAGGGTGCCTTGTCTGAGCAATTTTACCGGTAAGGACGCATT